AAAAAAAAAAAGGCATGTGTTCAGTATACTATAAAGAACATCTTCAGAGACAGAATAGTAGTAATGGTAGAATAAGCCCACCTGCAACTTCTATCAGTAGTATGTCTGAATCTTTACCAGTTCAGTATGCAGATGGCAGTGTCCCAGGAGCTCAGTTATTGATAGATTCTACATCTTCATCCCTGCAGCCAAGGCCTGTATCAAACCAGTCACTTTTATCAGAATCTGTAGCATCTTCCCAAGTGGATAGTACCTCTGTGGATAAAGCAGTACCTGAAACAGAAGATCTGCAAGCTGCAGTATCAGGTACAACACAGCAGTCATCTGAAGAGCAAAGCAAGTCTCTTGAAAAACCAAAATAAACAAACAAACAAATCAATGTTTCATGTGCAGAAAGAAAGTGGGACTGTTAGGTTTGAATGCTAGTGTGGAAATATTTACTGTGGTGTACACCATTACTCAGACATACACTCTTATAATTACTTTTTTTTTTTTTTGAGACAGAGCCTCAAGCTGTCCTTCTGGGTAGAGTACTTTGGCATCACAGCTCACAGCAACTTCCAACTCCTGGGCTCAAGTGAGTCTCTTGCCTCTGCCTCCCAAGTAGCTGTGACCACAGGTGCCTGCCATAATACTTAGCTATTTTTTGGTTGCAGCCATCGTTGCTGTTTGGCCGGCCCCGGTTGGATTCAAACCTGCCACCTTAGGTGTATGTGGCTGGTGCCTTAGCCACTTAAGCCACAGGCACTGAGCCACTTCTAGTGAATTTGACTGGAGGGATTTAAAACTCCATGTATGGCATGGTTCTCTTAGAGCCCCTAACAGCTCTGCTTTAACACTCATTTTCAGATCCAACATTTCCTGCTATTTAATAATATTCATGCAAAACAAAATTCTAACCCTATTGTTTCTTTCCAACAAAACCTCTATCCTTCCTCTCCTTTGGCTTCTAAGACTATCCAATTTCAACTGCTCCCCTTTAATGAACCTCAGTTGGACTCTCAAGTAGGGAGAACCTAAGTCAGCAGGAAACAGTTACAGAAGAACAGTCCATCATCCAAACTCCCCAGTCTTGAGTCCATTGATAAGAATATCAATTCTAACCAATGTGGCAGGGGAGGGGGAATTAAAGGACAGCATTGCTAATAAACTACCTAACAGAGAAAAATAAACTATTTAATAGAAAAGAAGAGTGAAAGATCATAGTGTACACTGCCCATTTGTTTGATCAG